TTAATGACTTGATACTATTTTATCTCTCGAACACTTTTTAAACCTTTTTTTTATCTCTTGAGCTATATTTAAATAATATTTTTTCCTACGACCACTTAGGAAAGTGACACATATCACACTATAAAGTCCTATGGAAAGTGCCCTATATCACATGCGTATGAATAAGAATTTACTTTCCACCCGAGTGAGAATATGTTACTTTCCGCAGTAGTTGTTACAAAATGTCAAACACCTAATTTCTATTTTGATCTATGTAATGTCCATATTAATACTAAAATCGATATGATTGTTAATTTATTGAAATTGTTGTAAATTAGATCCTAGATATTTATCTTTAACAATTATTATTAAAATAATTTTAAAATAACTAAGAAAATGTTTGCTTTTTATTCTGGTTAAACATATAACCGATTAGATCACTCAATTGACGAAAGGCCTGTTAGCTCAGTTGGTTAGAGCATCAAACTATCAAATTTGCCATTTGAGAGACCTGGCGAACGACCGCGTTCGAATCCTGGCGGGGCCAGAATTTTTTTTTTTTATTTTTTTTTTTAATTTTTGTTTTTTTTTTTTTTGTTTTTTTTTTTTTTGTTTAAAAAATATGAAAATTGAATAAATACGATTGTTGTTGATTATTTTTTTAAATACATTTTAATTATTATAATAACCTGGTTTTACATTTTTTGATGAAAATATTTTGTGGTCGTAGGAAAAATATTGTACATCACTTGTGTGAAAAGTGAATTTCCACACTCGTGTGATAGTCGCACTCGGCTTGTGCCTCGTGCGACAATATTTCCCACTCGTGTGAAAAATGTCACTTTCCACACTCGTAATGTAATATACTATATATTTCGGTAAATTTATAACATTATTCTATTCGATCAATTTTTAACAACTTTTTTATCTCTTTAGCAAACTGTACAATATTTTAACTCTCGACAAATTTATAAAAATATTTTAACTCTCGATAAATTTTTAACAATGTTTTATATATCGAGCAATGTTTGTACAATATTTTATCTCTTGCGCATTTTCTAATAGTATTTTATCGTTCGAGGAATTTTTAAGCAATGTTTTATCTCTCGAGAAATTTCTAATAGTAGGTATCTCTTGAGTCAATTTTGAACAATATTTTATTTCTCAACAAATTTTTCAATAGTATTTTATCACTCGACCAATTTTTGAACAAGGGTTTAACATTTTGTAATACTATTTTACCTCGAGCAATTTTTGAACACGATTTTAACAATTTATAATACTATTTAATCTCTCAAAAAATTATTAAATATTTTTATCTCTTATTAAATTTCTAACAGTATATTTATCCCTAGAGCAATTTTTGAACAATATTTTACCCCTCAAACAATTTCTAATACTATTTTATACTTCGGCCAATTTTTAACACCCTTTTTTACCTCTCGAGCCATTTTTGAACAATATTTGATCTCTCGTGCCATTTTTAAACAATGTTTTATCTCTCGAGAAGTGTCTACTATTTTATCTCTGAAGTAATTTTTAAGAACTATTTTAATTTCTCTTGCAATTTTTGACCAATATATTTTACACTTCAAATGGAAACATACGCTGAAAAAAGTACTAGATTTTGTTTCGAGTGTACTAGAGTACCAGATTCTCAGAGAATGTACTAGATCTAGTACAATTGTACTAGACTGGCAACACTGATACCATAATGAACATTTAATCCGGATTGAACAACAAATGCATGTATAAGTATTAACGACGACCAACGAATGTTTAGGAACCAATGGCGAATGCCGTTCGTTGGCCTGGTCTGTTCGCAGCTCTACGAAATAATTACCTATAGCGAAGCAAGCTTCTGGCAAATAATATTTACGTGTAGGTTAAATCTGTGATGTTCAGCAAAGTTTAGATTATTTTGACAATTTTTTTTTATGTTCAGAAAATACTGAAATAAATTATGGAGAAAAGGTTTCAGCGTAACACACATTGAACTTAACACGTACATAGTTATTTTTTTTCTTTTACAGTTCATTGGTAAATGTGAATACAAGATACATTGTGAACATAAGATAAATAATGTGAATATAAGACTAAGACAAACTAGAATAAAATATAAATGTCAATATTATTCTAATAAAATTAAACAGTATGCATAAAAAAAATTAAACAAAAATCATTACAGCGAGTTTGTGCAACAATAGTGGATATGGAAGAGTGAAGTTGTACAGTATAACGAAAATCTACAAATTTAAAAAATATTTTAGGTTTTTAAGAAAAAATAACTATGAAAAAATAAATATGAAAAAAAGATTTAATTTAATTAGTCCTCAGCTCATATTTGATCCTGGACTTCTCAATTTTTGTTTTAACACTCGTAATTAAATTAATTTTATATAAATTTAAAATTTAAGATTTATTTGTAAATGTGGACAAAATAAAAAGAAATGCTGTTATTTATCAATTGTACATTAAAATAACACATTTTTACGTATATTAAATCTCAATATCTTAAAAATATATTGACAATTACTTTGACAGAATTATCACTCATATAAAATTTAATTAGTATATTACATTACGAGTGTGGAAAGTGACATTTTTCACACAAATGATGTACAATATTTTTCCTATGACCACAAAATAATTTCATAAAAAAATGTAAAATCAGGTTATTATAATAATTAAAATGTATTTAAAAAAATAATCAACAATAATCGTATTTATTCAATTTTCATGTTTTCTAAACAAAAAAAATTAAAAAAAAATTAAAAAAACAAACAAAAAATAAAAAAAACGCGCGCGAATTTCGAAACGTCGGCCGGGCGCGCTTTCTTCGCTCGCTTTTCTCTGTAGTAGTTAAGAGGAGGGTGGGTGGGAGGAGCGTAGCGTGATCTTACGATGTAGGTGGAAAAAGGGCGCGCCCGACCGACGTTTCGAAATTCGCGAGCGCGAATTTCGAAACGTTGGCCGGGGGCACTAGCTTTCCTCTGTAGTAATTAAGAGGTGGGAGGGTGGGAGGAGCGTAGCGTGATCTTACGATGTAGGTGGAAAAAGGACGCTAGCTTTCCTCTGTAGTAGTTAAGAGGTGGGTGGGAGGAGCGTAGCGTGATCTTACGATGTAGGTGGAAAAGGGCGCGCCCGACCGACGTTTCGAAATTCGCCCGCGCGAATTTCGAAACGTCGGCCGCGCGCGCTCGTTTCGCTCGCTTTCCTCTGTAGTAGTTAAGTTGTGGGTGGGAGGAGCGTAGCGTGATCTTATAGAGAAACTGTTGCCATGGAAACGCTTGTCATGCTAACGACTAAACAAATTCCGTAGTGAAAAAATGCCTAGTTACCAAGTTATAGATGGTTTCATTTTCACTTTAGTTTAAGATTAGCATATTGTATTAAGAGTTAATCTAAATCTAAGAGGCAACTACGCATTTCCTCACCACTAGATTTAGGTTTTTATTTAGTCGACATCACGACATCTCCATAACCGATTTCAGCTAAACTAAAGTTAAAATTAAATGACCTGTAACTTGCCAACTATGCATTTTCTTACCACAAGATTTGGGTTTTTGTTTAGTCGTTACCATGACAAGTGTCTCTATGGCAACAGTTTCTCCGTAACTGATTACAGTTAAATTAAATCATCTGTAACTTGGCAAACACGCATTTCCTCACCATGAGATTTGGCTTTTTGTTTAGTCGTTACTATGTCAAGCGTTTCCATGGCAACAGTTTTACCATAACTGATTTCGTCTAAACTAAAGTGAACATTAAATAATCTATAACTTGGCAACTATGCATTTCCTCACCACGAGATTTGGGTTTTTGTTTACTGATTACCATGACAACGGTTGCCATGGCAACAATTTTTACGTAACTGATTTCGGCTAAACGAAAGTTGACCCGTTATTGAATATATTTTGAAAAACTGACAAAGAATTCAGTTTTGTCAGAAGTTCCTCGATTCAGAACTACCAATATAAATTAAACTTAGATCACCTTAATTAGGCATTCCAAATTGAATGGCTACCAGTGGGTTTTGACGGGTTATGATATGGCAAAATGATGGCAACCCTGTAGGCCTGGTGATTTGACAAGGTCAATGAAATAGATAGTTACATAGATTGATCATCCATATTTTTCAAAATAAACATAAAGCTTATGCCTTGAAGTAAAAATGTAAGCAATTATTTTTTTTAAATATCTAAAGACTAAAAATTGGTTTTAAAACACATTTTTGCTAAACCGATTCAAATTAATAAATATTTGCCAGGCAATATGGCCGCTCGTAAACGACCAGCTTTGAGCAATCTATATAACTATATATGTATCATTGACCCTGTTAATGACAACATACAACAGGTTGCCATATCTAAACTGTTATTACCCACTGGTAGCCATTTGGACAGGTCGTTGGAATGCCTAATTGTGATAGAACAGAAGTAAAAGTTGAAAATGCTTTTGCCAGTTCTCCCACTTTATACACATAAATTGACAGGTTGTCAGCGGATCTCACCGAAGTGGACGCGATACATTGGCGTACAAAATTATTTTATAGATGTTAATAACAATTTCGAGTAAATCGTTTAATAAATTGTGAATAGCTGTTGAAATTTTGTAAAATTATAATCTGAATATTATAATACATGTTTAATAATTATTTATAATCCATAAATACATGCGATTGTCCGGTTCCGCCGATAACAATTTAAAATTACTTATTCTATGAAACGACACTGGCAGGTAAATATTACTGTGAAATTCTCGGAGCCGCCAGACGTGGTTTGACGTTTACCCCCTCTCTACCTACCAAAAGACTTTTCAACTTTTACTTTCTCTATACTGACATGTTTGAAAAACACTACTGATGGTAATCTCAGTTCTCTATTTGTCCAAGTTAAGGTGAACGAAATATTAAACTGTGATTGAAAAACTGGCCCTTAATAGGTTAAATTTAAACTGCCACCTTAACAATAAAACTTAAAAAAAAAAATAACTTGACTCAGTTTTATATTTATTTTTAGGGGTGAAAATGGTGTCGGCTGTTTTGTTATGGAAGCCGTCGATAATCCAAACAAATGCATTTTACACTGGATAGTAAACATCGATTTAAAATTATGGTTACCGAGTGGGATACTCGATAAAGAAATGGCAGCTATGATGTTTAAATTTGTCAAAGATCTCAGGAATCATATTTCATCCAGAACGAACGGTGATCATTGATATTTCATGACTGATAATTTTTTTTACACCCACATACTTGTTGGGAAAAGTCATATAATGATTTTAATCTTTCTCTTTCTAGGGATACACGCTGAATTTTTTGCTTATTTGTAAAAAAATAAATAAGCGTATTCTAATGTTACGTTTTCGTAAAATATTATAGTGACTAATTACGGATTTATTTTAAATTGTAAGGGCTGGTTGTACAATAGGCAGTTAAAATATAAACTGAACCTCGTTGTATAATGATCGGTTATTGTTAAACATAGTTTTAAAAATGATATTTGTACGTTAAATATAATCAGCTAAAAATTAAACTCCTATTAGCTAAACATGAGTATACAACATTCTTTGTACAACCCGCTCTTAAGAGAGATGTTTTGTTAACCACAGGTTTATTCAATTAACGATTATTAGTTTTCCAGTTTGCTCTGTCCTCTCATTTTGATAACTTTATCTCAGATAGACGAATAAGTAATGGGCGGCGTTTAACATAAGTTTTGTTTAAAGCCAATATACTGGGTGACAACGAGAACAGAACCACGTTAATATCTCTTTCATTTTTGAAGCAATTTGAATCAAATTTGGGACAAATCTACACATACTTAAACAAAATATCAGATTTTTTTATGAAAATGCAACAATTTTTAAAATCTTGTCCGCCATATTGGATCTGCCATTTTATTTTTAAAAGATTCCAATTTGTATCAGTGATCTCAAGAAGCCTTTATATCCAAATTAACGATTTTTGTAATTTTGTCCGCCATATTGAATTCGCTATTTTGTTATTTCAAAATTCTAATTTCAATTTCTTAATAAGCGATTTCAAAAAACCCTATGTCCCAATTTTTATGAAAATATAACAAATTTTATAATTCTCTCCGCCATATTAAATCCGCCATTTTGTTATTTCATAATTCTAATTTCAATTTCCTAATCACTGACCATGAAAAGTCCTATATCCGAATTCCTATGAAAATTTAACTATTTTTATAATTTTGTCGGCCATATTGAATCCGAAGGACAATCACCTCTGCTTATTCAAAAACTTAAAATAGCCCATGTTAAATTTAACTATTGACATTAGATTTCTGTCAAATTCCCATTAAAAAAAGACAGTTTTGAACGATTTTTCAAAAAAAAATACTGAATTTAACAAATAACTAAACAATAGCCAACAACTTTATGGAACACACAGTATAAAAAATGTATGTATTTAGTTTATCCTCTAAACATTTACAAGGGTGATACAATAGGTTGTAGAACAGAGGTAAAAGTTGGAAATGCTTTTGCCAGTTCTCCCACTTTATACACATAACTTGACAGGTTGTCAGCGAATCTCACCGAAGTGGACACGATACATTGGCGTACAAAATTATTTTATAGATGTTAATAACAATTTCGAGTAAATAGTTTAATAAATTGTGAATAGCTGTTGAAATTTTGTAAAATTATAATTTGAATATTATAATACATGTTTAATAATTATTTATAATCCATAAATACATGCGATTGTCCGGTTCCGCCGATAACAATTTAAAATTACTTTTTTCTATGAAACGACACTGGCAGGTAAACATTACTGTGAAATTCTCGGAGCCGCCCGACGTGGTTTGACGTTTACCCCCTCTCTACCTACCAAAAGACTTTTCAACTTTTACTTTCTCTATACAAAATAACCGAAAAAAAAAAAAATTAACGGGTAAGACAGGAAAGTCATGTGTTGGACACATCAGATTGAGCGCCATGTTGCTTATAAATGTAACATTTTATTACCAATCTGACAATATGCACACCAATTAGGGTGTAATGATTGCATTTTAGTAACTAACTTCACTATTTAATTTTACGTAGGTTTTTCTAAAGAATATTTAGTTTACTTCAAATATTCTTTTTTTTTATCCTATTGACTGCGCCACGTTATCATTGAAACAACTATTCGGAAACTGAATCTTTATTTGTCGTCTATGTGCGAAATATAAGAAAACGTTATAGTCCGGGAACTATTGCTAATATATTAGGTATACATTTATAGTCCAGACATTAATATAAAATAATATAATTTAATTGAAATACAATCATTACATATGGTCATTCCCACCGCATTTTTAACGAAAAAATGTAATTTTAAGCTACTAGCGGTGAAATTCGGCCTTAGAAGATTATTTTCCAGTTTATGGCCTTCTGCATAAAAAAAACCATTTAAAAAAATCAATCTTAATGGCCTATTGTCAAATCACCTTCTAGAAACCACCGGTAACATTAATTTTTCAAATTGCTAACCCCTATTATTTTGCTAATATGAAACAATTTTTCATTCTAATCGATATTCGGCAATACTGGACCCATTAATAACTAAGGGATGGTTTGATTCGAGTCCATCCTGTAAGACTTATGCATCCTTGATACAACATATTTAAAAATACATATATTTTTAGAGAATTTAAGATATTAACTAACCTAAAACCTATAGGAAAAAGATTGCAATTTGCAATGTTGTGCCCCATTTGGAGCGTTTTTAATTAAATTCGGACTACACTGTCGCTAACATTTAATCAGAATATTATTACATTTAAGCTCAAACATTTTTTTTAATTTGTTATTCACTTCTGTGATCATATAATACGAAATCGTTATATATTTACAATTTTCAGAGAATTTAAAATAAAACGGAATGGATTTTACTTCTTAAACGCCAAAAAAAGAAATTAAAAATTGTTTTTTTTTGTTTTTTTCTACTTATGTAACTTTTGCGAATCTCTTATGTTACGTCCTTCGATTTTTTTTTTTATTTTAACCGTCTTTAATCATTTAGCAAACTTTAGAGATTATTAAAAATGTTGTCAGTTGTTAAATTGACTTCATTGTCTACAATTTTTAATTTGTACTTACTACTCATTTTGCGTCCAGCAGAGAGTAATAAAATCTTATTAATATATACATACTACAGTCCCTTCTTTGTAATATCTCGTTTGATATCTTCTGTCAGTCCTTGTTCACCTCCATTTTATTGTTTTAGTGAATTCAGAACAGTCATTTTTGTTCTAGTTGGACTCTCTGTATATATATATAGTAAACCTTCCATGTTTGATCTCTTATCAATCTTATCTTTTATTTTATGAGTTTTCTCTTTTTACAAAGTTGTATATGTATCATTTTTTAACATAATTTAACAATAATGCACTCATTGCCTTTTAAAAATGTTTAACAGAACTAAATACGAACCATTTTAGTTCTCACTTTGTAGACTTAAACTATCACTAAATTCCAAATAATAAAATGTTACTTATTCAAAATAAATACGACTTTTTAGGGATTAAAAAGCAATTTACTATTCGATCCCCTTAAATGGATTTGTATTTTTGACAATTTAAATTCGATAGCAATTATATTTGCTCCCCTTATTTATTGCTCTCTCCTGGTATAATCGATTTATGAAAATAGCTAATTTGGATAGAATTTAAGCAACAAATATTGTGACAATTTATGGTTGATATTATAAATTGTCGCAATTCAACTTAATCATTGTAAAATTTATAAATTGTACATTATTTTAGTTTAAACCTTTGGGGCTTGGAATATTTGACAATATAAAATTGTAATTTAAAAACTAGTTTAACATATTTTATACTTTATATTATTTTCTAATGAAATTAAATTATGTAGGATATATTACTCCGATTGTTTTATATAAATTTTGTTTGTAAGTACTGCATTTATTTCTGTAAGGTATGAAAAAGACTGTGATTTTAAAATAAACTATATTTACTTAAGAGTACATTTTTGACCTTTATTTTTAATTTTAACTGCTGCTGCTTATTAGCACAAACAATGGAAGAAAAATCATTTAGTACATGTATTATTTATTTACAATAAAACTAAATAAAGTAGAAACTACAAATCACTTATTAAGTGACAATAACTTCCATTTACCACATCCATAAATATCTTGATCCATATTTGGCAGCTGGCCTGGGAGCATCTTTTGGTAATCCAGGAGTAGCATCTGGGTATAGAACAGGTCCTTCCTTTTCAGGTCTTGGTCTTTCAGTTTCGTGAACATGGACTCTAGCAAAGTAGTCATATGGAGGTCTGTCCAAACCTAAATTGTCCTTCACGCATTTATCAAATACAGCTTGAGTGTTTCGGCATCTGTAAATTACAATTTAAGTCAATTTGATATGGATTTATATGGTCATTATCCAGTTTGACCTCTTTGTTCATGAAAAAATCATGCATACATATTTGTAGGTGTTTTAAATATTTCACAAAATTTCTCAAATCAATGATTCTACTTTTATGCCTTACACTGTTGCAAAGTCACACAAAAAGTTTACTATCATATTATTCAGTGCCAATTAGAACAGCAATTCATTTCTAATAAATTTCCTCACCATAACATTTAACATACCTATTGACATTGTTTTACCAACCAATCACCTCTTTCACTCCCTTTCACATAAAATTTTTAATATTAAGTACAAAAAAATGGCAATTTTACATTAATTTCCACAAGGTATGGAACTTGGGCTCTTTGTTTACAAGTGTGCTTAGTTTTTTTCATAATCGAAAAGAGGTCATAAATAGCAATAATTATTTAACTGTTAACTAAAGGCTTTAACACTTACGGCGTAAACTGTTGATCAGGACTAGATTTATCCAAACAATGTACATATTGCATAAATTCATCAGCACAAGTCTTTTTGATTTTTCGGAAAAAATTCAATGCGCAACTTGTGACAGCCTTGCCTTCATCGAGACAACATCTAGCATCTTTTAGTTCATCGCGACATAATATAAATTCCTAAAAAAAATAATATTCCAAGTTTTGAAATTGATTAGATAATACTTAACCTCACATTATTTTCCCATTCACAGGCTTTCCCTAAATGAAAAGCTCCCGCTTTAAGGGCTGGGCCAGATAAATTGATTTCTTGGACTGTTAATTGCTCCTCGGTTGGGAGTTCTACCTCGTGTGTAATGCCCATTGTTTAATTATTTTTTAAAAATTCATCTATTTTTTTATTAACCCGATTAACCGATTGACAACATTGACAGATGAAAGAAAAAAAGAAAACCAAAAAATGTGAAGTGACACGTGACATAAACGAGGTGCGATCGGCTATTCAACTTAAGTGGCTCCCAGACGATGCAATTTGTTGTGCTCCAACTTGTACAATCTTGGTTGGTCCAACCGTTTTGAACACGTATTTGGATATACAAGTTTGAATATGTATAATTTATCGACTTATTGATACAATTTAAATGTGGTGAGAATGTCCTAAAATAATGTTAATAATAATTCGCTATAAATTAGAACATTCTAAATTTTATTCTAGAAAACCCAAAGTGAATATAGAATGTTGAATGGTTGAACTCAGTGGCGTATCCAGACATTTTTCATGGGAAGGGTATCTGAGAACTATGGGGGGTTAACAAACAGTTAATAACGATCAGCGCCAATGAGAAACGGTGACGGGAAGGCCTCCATTCGGGGGGGTGAGGGTTCTGACCCCCAAACCACACGTGGCTGCCCCACTGGTTGAGCTATTATGTTAAAGAGATTCGATTGTTCCCCTTCCGGTATTTTTTATTTAGCAGTTTTGCTCCATTCAGCCTCTTATTCGTGAAAAACATGTCAAAATAGTCTAATTTATGGTAAATGGGGTAGAATAAAAATGCAAAATCTTAGTTGAGAGTTATACAAACGTTTTGAGAAGAATTAAACCACTTTTTGACTTTTGGTTCCGATTTTACAATTATGTCATGACTATAATTTTTGTTTAAAATCACCAATTTTACAAATATTATACCCTCGAAACACTTTTTTTAACTAAAGTGGAACATATAGCATGTAAGAAAAATATTTGGTGTAAAATTATTTATATTTTTTACTTTTCAACAAGCAGACAGAGATATAACGCCTCTGGTTTGCAAGATCTAGTTATAATTCACAAAAATTTATATTGTTACTTTTCACAACCAAGTTTTTCAAAATGTCTGTCAGACAGTGCATGCCTTCTGGGAACGTATTGAAATAGTTAATCCTTCATGCAGTTCAATGTAGAAAATTAGAATAATAACTAGAAATGCCTACGTAACGTAAGTAGGTAGTTTTCATATTATAAAAACTGCTGTATGCAGTATACTTTATACTATATTTCTTTAGTTTATAATGTGTATGCAACAAGTTATGTTTATAATAATATAAATATAAAATACGTATCTACCCAGACAGCACACCAAATCCTTTGGATATCTACTGAACATCCCAATATCCACTGAATGTCCAGTCCATGGTGGATATCTGTTTTATATCCATGAGATGTAATTTATAGACATGCAGATGTCCATGAATAATAGTAATTATACAGAAAATTAATAAAAAATTACGCCATTGTGCTTGCCATTGTGGCTAATAGTACCGTTCAGATATTTAAAATTAATTTTTTTAAGGTGCGTATTCAATATCCCATGGACATCCACTAAATATATCAAAGTCTAGGCGCGAACGCAAACCATCGTGGATATCCACTAGATGTTATTTGATTTTGCTTACTAAGTATAGATGGCGATACCACTTTCGCATCTACTCATGCTCGACCCGCCGTAATTGAGTTCGATCGAAATTTGTGTCCTAATCAGACTACATTAGAGACTGGAGTCGAGAATTTCCATTTATTGCTAAAGAGTCCTAATAAGGATGACTTTCTCCTTAGTGGGCAAAATCAAAGGCAGAGTGTTGAAAATATTTTGAGTGTTGAAAATATATGTCCGGGAGAAATTTTTGTGTGTTTACACTGGATTAAACAACTGTCAGACATAAATCTCATGCAATAAGTGTCAGATGTAAATGTACCTTAAGAGGGATTTCATAAAAGTGGGAATTTTTAAGGCAACCTTACTTCAAGGTTGGCAACACTGCGCGAAGTCCACCATTTTGTTTTTGATTTAGAAGCGTTAGCAGCTCATTTTACTGCTAAATTAATATTAACATTTAAATTGTAGATTAATAATAATTATTGGTGGATAGTGTAATTAGTTTTATTAGTGTGTACAAGAGGTAAGTCCGTTTCTATAGCGAAATCAACCAAATACCCAACGCCGGGGTGCATTTATAAAAATCAATAGCATTGTCGCTGTTTTCTTTAGGTGGGCCCTCATCATGTCTAGGCATTCTGATTGTAAAATTTATGTCGGAGACCTAGGAAACAGTGCTTCGAAGCAAGACATCGAAGATGCTTTTAAATATTACGGACCACTCCGTAATGTTTGGGTAGCACGGAATCCGCCAGGCTTCGCATTCGTGGAGTTCGAAGATCCCAGAGACGCCGAAGATGCTATCAGAGGACTAGGTAACTTCGATGTTGTTCTGAACTGTTATTTTGGTTGATCTCCTAGTTTTTTTAATACGTTGGTGTTTCTTATTAATTTTGGTTTTAACGAATTATTATTTGACCGAGGGTAGATTCCTTTAGATATTGTTTTTTGCGTTCTTTGGATCCTTATTTAGTCTTTATTTAACTGAGAGAAGTATCTTGAAGAATAAGCATGTTGTAGAAAACAGAAATTCAATATTTATCACCATGCCTAGGTATATTGAAATTTTTGAAAATATACCATTGTTAGATTATGAAATTACAAATAGGGTACAATTTTAAGTATACATGTTATTGACGGGAAACTATTGCATTTTTAAGTATACAAAATTCCAATTCGGCATGTAGTGTAACTTCAGAATCTCATGATTAAATCTATCAAAGGACTTGGAGAAGTCTGTATAGGCAGCATTGACTTGTTTACCAATCTCCAAGGCATCCAACTGAGTAACTATACAGTGTTGCCAGAGAGCAAACATTTTTTGTACCAAAATTAAAGTCAAATTGTACCAGATTCAGACAAAATGTACCAGCTTATAAATGCACATGTGTTATTTGAACATTTTTAAATGTTGACCATAATAATCGCCTAATATAGTTTATTTTAATGTTTATTGGTCTTTAAAATACAGAAAAAGACAAGATCTAGTACATTTAGTCGGTACTGTAGAGTGTAGAAAACTGTAACAGTATATAATATAGATAGTAGGGCAGGAACTATAAATTAGATTTTGATAAATAAAACAATCTATTTTTTTAATATATAAATATATAAACATAAGGGATGTATCATCCCTAATAAATATGTCTGCTTTTTCAATGGTTTAATTCACGATCAAGTATTCTCAATTACAATGTTGCTGTGGTATTGCCACTGTCTATTCGCGTACTGCCCACCGCGCTGGTCTGCCTTCTCCCGCTCGTCTATCCTGACACGCATGTGTATGGACTTCAAGAATGTGTGGTGGGAAACAGAGGAACACCGCTAACAAATATTTATGTGCTTGCAAATCAACACAAAATTAAACTGGATTCTATATCCTATTACCTATAAAACATTTTTGTGCCTTTTTAACTCAAATATTGCCATATTATATTGTACAATTAAAATGTTTAAAACACAACTTCTTAACACAAAAAAAAACAAGATACAAGATATAAACTTCTTTAACATAAAACAAAAATATCATCAATTTACTTTGAGAACCTACTCTTAGACCTCTGGAACAACAAGTTAATTTTTAGGGAGTTTTTTAACAAAGTTGGTTGTGGTTGACAAGAATAACATTTAATAATCACATGACAACATAATCGCATTACATGTTTCTACATTAAGACGATTAATTAAATCAATTTAATCAAAAGTTTGGAAAATATTCTTTCTGCACAGGCAGAAGAATGTGGAAGACACATTACGGCCCTAACCAGTCTTTTTAAATTTGGGAACATTCACAGTCCAATCCATTTTTTGATTTGAATACTTCACAAAATTCGTTTAATGGAAGATTTTCTTTTTTTTTTTAATCAGCTATCTCTGGCAGCAGCCTCCATTCATTATCTAATTTTTCACAGTCAAAAACAGCTTTTGGAATAAACCTTTTGGCTTCGACAACAATGGTGAATACATTGCCATTTTTTGGTTGAAAGTTTGATAAAAAAAATTAATAAGCCATCATTAAAGTTAAATCTTTTTCGAATTTGGCTACTTAACTCTACATAAAATGATGGAACATTTACTCTATATTTTTCAACTTCTTTACAGTCAGTATTGTTTTCACTTAAAAATAAAGCAACTCTTGCCCCCATATAGATTTCTTTGGTATCTAAATAAATTTCAGGATTGGTTGGGCAAATATTCCCAAATATATTGTTTCTGTAGAGGCTAGTGAACTTGGTGTAAAGAGTGTGTATCTGGGTTGATTCGCTTTGAAATTGCAGGTTCATTTGGTTTATGATATCCAAAATATATGACAAGTAAGTTAAATATAACTTAAATATAGGATTTTTTAGATTTTCCAGTAAATATTGATCACTATGTAAAATATCCTTATTTTCATATACTAAATTTGTAAAATATAACTTTAGGCACTCCCACAAAAAAAGAATGCAATCCATTACAGCCTGCAATTAGAAAAAAATATGTTCTAAATTTATTTTTCTATGTTTTCAAAACTTATAAAGACAGCCATCTAGTCTGAGCTGGTCGTAGCAATTTGTGAGATTTCAACTGCAACAACTTTTGTTATTCCTCAAACTCAGACAAATTCTTCAACTAATTTAGGTAATTTAGTGCAGGCAGCAGAAGAACACAAATGCAGAGAGTGGCATATACATCCCAATACAAAAATATCTTCATTTAATTCCCTAAATTTAGCTTGGACACCAGCTTTTTTCTTCCCCATTATGATTGATCATTATCTCCAGCAAAGCCAATAATATTTTGTAATGGTATTTTATTATCATTTACTAATTGTACTACTGCATTAAATAATGATTGAGCAGTAACAGATGTCACTTCAATAAGTCCAAGAAACCTATCTATAGGTTTGTCATTTTTGCAGAAGCGAATAACCACAGATAGAGATTTTTTTTTTTGAGACATCTGTGGTCTCATCTATTATTAATGAGTAGAGGCCACCACTATCATGAAGTTGTTTTTTAAGAACCTCAAGGCTAAATATGTTGTCAATAAATTAGCTTTCATTCGACTACATTTAACATCTTTTGCCACTGCGGAATCAGGACAAACTGATTGTACAAATTTAGGCAAATGTTCCATTAATAAAAATGGAAAATTATACTCATGAAGAAACATTGTCATCTTCAATTCAGTGGCATGTACAATTTTTTTATGCAAAAGTGTTTTGTCATTATCAACCATTAAATTTATTTTGCGAGAGGATTTTGTAACCGGAAAATTAAAAATCTAAAAATCGAAACACTGAAAAATCGAAAAAGAAAAAAATCGAAAAAACGAAATTTAGAAAAATCCAAAAAGACGAAAAATCGAAAAACCGAAAATCGAAAAATCTAGAAACCGAAATAATATCGAAAAATCCAAAAAGACGAAAAACCGAAAATCGAAAAATCAAAAAACCAAAATATCGAAAAATCCAAAAAGACGAAAATCCAAAAACCGAAATATCGAAAAATTTAAAATTAAAAATTTAAAAATAATGGAATAATTGAAAAATCGAAAAAGAAATTCCGTAACGAAAGTAAATCTAACACCCCCCCACTCCGAGCGGCACAGAGGTGCGGCGTTGAAAGCCGTGCATCGTCTAACGTCGTTTCAGTTCGGCAGACTTCGGCACGGTGTTTGTGTGCGTGCGACTAGACGTATGCGTGTAGACTAGATGCTAACTGCTCATAACTGATTCTATCTCTTTTAGACACAATTTCGGAAAAATTGAATTTGAAAATGAATAGGTAATGATCCACAACAAACCACAACAAAATATGGAACCACCATTGACGCGGCATTTTCCAGATATTTAGAGGATATCAAGTCTCAAACTTATGTTTCTTATTTCAGTTACCATAAACCTATAGTTTCAATGATAAAAATTCCTGAATAACCTAAATGTATTGCAAGATAATAAAAATATTGTAAACAATATTAACTTCTCATTTATGCAATAAAAGACAAAAAATTGTTTTCTTATCGGCCACCACGCTCAAACTTGAATTAATATCAAAGAAAAAACTTGAATTAATATCAAAGAAAAAAAAAACTGCATAAATAAAATAATTATAATTGCATAAGTTGATAAAAAATGCTATGCAATAGCTTTACCGCGGCAGTCCTCGAGTGCCACACGTATTTTTGTTTTGTGTGTGTAAATCACAGGTGTAAATGTTTAATTATTTATACACAGATACATTTTTATAAAAAGACAAAAGTAAAACAAAAACTGCATCAAACACCAACGCAACGTCGACCGTCAAATCGTCAACGTCAACGAAACCACGGAACGGTCAATCAAGAACCACAATACTGCCGTGTTAATTCAAATGGCCGTATCTGTTTAATACATAAACGTGATTAAAATCGATTTTTCAAGAAAAATCACTTACGCTCAAATTTCTAAGCGTTAAATCTCGGATTTTATAGAATATATATATCTATGAAAATTATAGAGATAAATAAAAAATTCATTGTTGTCAGGAGTAGTGGTCATATCTTTATTTCCAAGAAAATTGCAGTTACGGCCATTTGAATTAACACGGCAGAATACCACAAATCACAAAACGACAAGATGACATTGACGAAGACAAAATTAACAAAGGATAGCCTAATTCGACACTTGATTGACAGTTCACGTATCGAGAATCAAGTGTTGATTGGCATTGGTAATGCCATCCATTTACGATTCAGGAAATTATTGTTATATCGAGTTTATATGTAAAATGAAAAGTTCGAAATTGTACCAAATATATCAGCGTCGTACCAGTGTACTTTTTTAAAGCGAATGGCACCAAATCTGGTACAAACGTACCAACTCTGGCAACACTGTAACTATATACGAAACCAAGTTAGTAGTTGTGAACTTTTCCAACAAGAACCCTTGCTGGTTATTAGTAAATATAACTGGTTTCATCATACTATTCTAAGATGATAATTTCAAAGTTTTACTACTAACTAGTATATTGAAATAATTTAGTTTTTAACTGTGAAGCAACCCGTGTATATTCCAGGCCGCACGAGAAGTCGTTGCTTCGTCTTCTTGTTTTTTTTTTTTTTTATAAATTTTAAATAATTCTGATACTACAATTTCATTAACAACTTGGCAAAATTGTAATTTTTAAGATCGAATCTCATTTATGGTAAATGTTTTGTGAATATAACCTGTAAAATTGAGGGTTTTAATTAGATTTTTCACGAAAAGTACTGGTTTTTTCAAGAATTTTTACGAAAATTTACTATAGAAACTGGTTACTTTTGAGTATTTAATTTTTTTTTACAAAATTCGCAC